CAAAATAGTATAAGTAGTAATGTCAGGTTGTTCACCTCTTTCAATCATCAAATTAAATAACTCTCTTGCCTCATCCACTTTTTTGTTTAAACAATTCCCATTCAGCAAAGATCTAACTTCTTTCCGTTGGCCCGCACGACACAAACCATAAATTAATGAACTAAAAGTGAAAATATCTGGGAAAATTCCCTGAACAATCATTTTGGAACACAAAACACGTGCCTCATTTATATGTCCATCTTTGCACAAACCATGGATAACTGTATTGTATATTACAATATTGGGCTTAACCTCCTCTCTCCCCATCTTCTGAAGCAGTTGAATGGCAGCTCTTGTGTTTCCCATCTTACTCTTACACAGCCCATTGATTAAGGTTCCATAGAGAACATCATCAAGCGAAATCCTTCGAGCAACCATTTCATTGTAAATGTGTAGTGCATCCAGCATCTTATCATTAATACAAAACCCCTTCATCAGCGTAGTAAAAGTCACAACATTTGGTTGACAACCCCACTTAAGAATCTTACCCATTACAGAGAATGCAAAATTCATCCGACCCATGTGGCAGAAAGAGTTGATCAAAATGTTAAAAGTGACAGTAAACGGCACAACACCCTTATATTCCATTAGGTTATATAGATTGATAGCTGTCGCATAGTATTTCATCTTCACAATCATTCCTAAGATTTTGGTGAATTCCACAATCGATGGCAGGGGATGCATATCAACCATGCGATGAAACAAAGCCACAGCATCATCAATGCCACAAAATCTGTAAGTGCTTTCCGATGGCAATGGCTGCGAATGTAGATGTATCCTCCTCATATGTGGCATAAGAAGGCGAGGAAGTTTCAGGAATTGCATACCTTGCCGTATACCACATGTGCTCTACTCCAAACACAACACAATATGCTCACTAAATTTCTCAGTCCTTCCCCATGTCCTTCCACGAGGTTTAACAACGAAACAGTAGAACTACATGGAAGAATGAAAACAGCTCCATTATCCATAAACTCTTTACTTTCTGCACTAACTAAAACAGAGAAAATATAAATTAACAGACAATGAGTATTGTTCAACAAAATAACCACAAACAAAATAAAAAATATAAGTTAAAAACCAAATGGGTATGTACCAATTTTTTTTTTTCTCAAAAAAGTAATCCTATAAGAAAAGGAACTGACAAACAGGTAGCAAAGAGAGACATTTTGACAAACAGAAAGAGTGCATAGAGACACATACGTATTGAAAAACCATCGTTTTTTTAATAAAGAGAGATTGGTTTTCAGTATATAGATGTAATGCAAAATGACTGAGTCATAGCTACAAATTGAACAAAGTTGGGGGAACATAATATAACATGATAGGAGTGCAGAGAGTGAAAAGCGAGATGGTGAAAAATGGTTTAAGAGGTTACTGGAGAGGCAAAGACGTGAACTTGAGTATGGTAGAATGAGCGGCAAGAGTTGTTTGTGTTTCTTCCGTTTGCTGAGGCAGTGGGGTGGTGGCGGTGGTGCCCTCAACGTGAAGAAAACACAGCATGAGTCCACCTTAGGTATTCTTCAGTTTAAACTTTCTTCACACCATGTTTTCCAAACGAAAAATTAATAAAAAAAATAAAGTGAAAATGGAATGTTATAAATATAATAAACACAATTAAAAAAAGACCGCCAATTTATGAAAACGTAATTTTAACAACAATTTTTTTAAGGGGTGTTGCTCCCTCCACCTCCACAGCCTTCTCCCTCCACCTTCCCAATTATCTTTAATTCCAATTATATCCTTAAAGTTAAAATTTTTTATTTTTATTATTTTA